GTAATATTAATTAAAAAACCTCTTGTTAGTCAATATGACTAATTTAAACTCTACATTTGTTTAAATATAATAAAAACTGTATACTATATATATAATTATATAAGGAACTATACAGTTCAGAGATACTGACTATATTATTAGCGTACCTATGCATCACTAAGCATTAATAGCAAAAAAGAAAAACATATGTATATGGTGTAATTTCATACCTTTAAAAAAATGGAACACTTCCTAACTGTATACTGAACTCAAAGAAGTACGTCTAAGTAAGTGTGATATTAATATTGATTAATAATTTAATAAAACCTTTTACTATTTGTAACTCACAGTTCTCAATTATGATTCTTGTCACTATACAAATATGTATTTATTGACATAAATTACTTCGATCTCTCTTTTTTAAAAATGGGCTTATAGTGTCCACAGTGTCCACAATACTTATCTCAATTTAAGTAAGTTTCAAGGTTTAGAGAATTTTATTACATATATAAAAGTAACTTTTTTATTTAATAGAAACTAGTATATTTCAAAAAGAGATTTTTCGAACAGTAGCGAACTACAACAACAAAAATTAATTTTATATTATTTTAATTAATCGAATTTTTGGCTAACCATACAGCTGTTTCAAGTATTGTGAAATACCCATCATCAGTGGTCTTGCAAATAATTCTTGTGTTTTAAATTATTCGTAAATAATTTTTTGAGACTGCAAGTACCAGAATTCGAACTCGTGTCCTCCCAAAAGGACACATATCAAAAGGAAATCATAAAATCGAACGGGTCGTTGAATTTCTTTATAACATTTAAGGAGTTTGTATCCATATTGTGATTATTTTAAGTTAAGATCTAGTAACGAAAAGATTTCAACATACAATGATGTTGTGAGTGAAGTTTGAATTTATAAAAATCTGAGTTTTGATATAGTTTTCCAGCATGTTCACGATTTGGTGCTAAGTAAGCAGCTGTGAGTATGCCTAATATATATGTTATATACACTAGTAAAATCTATTAGTAGTTTCTATTAATTACTTTATTTCTACACTTAAGTGATGTTAAATGAAGAATGACATCCTCAGGGACATTAAGATTGATCCTATCAAAAAATATATAAAGGATAAAGCCCTGAAATTATTAAGGAAAACTGACAGACTTACCAACACTACGTTAACAAATCTCAAAATGGTTACAGGCTCCTCTTGGAGGTATGCAGATCTGAGGTCAATTATTGCTTAGTCTGATGAAGTGATAAACAATAATCTAGTCAAGGTGTAAAGAGGGGTTTTGAAAATACCTCGAGTTAAAAAAGAGTATAAGTACTTAAGTGCACTAGCTCAAAACAGCTTCAACATAATTGTAAATGAAATGTTTGTTTTTATTACAAATATAAGTTAAACTTTTACTAGGCAGGAAATTCCATTTACATTAATAGACGTAGTTGGGCATAAAAATTACAAAACAGCATTGCAATTTTTTATTTAAACTTAAGGCTAAAGTTTTTTATATACGAGTATTATATTTGAAATGAAATTTAACTGAAATATCTCTTCTTCATTTAATTTGATGACATTTTCATAACATTTAATCGGTTGGTATTCGCAACATAATTTCAACACTTTTGCTTGGAAGTGCAATTCTTTATAGCCAATAGGCATTTTTAGTGTCCACAGTATATTTTCTTTTGTCTTTTACATTTTTACTTTTACAGTAAAAATTCGTGAATATTGTGTTTCTCCAAAGGCACGCGTTTCTCTATTCAAGACATCTCATATGATTTTAGGTAACAAACACTCCATTCAAGTTGATCAGTTATAGAAACGATAAACCTTTTGAAGTTTTTGTTAATTTATTTTTTGACTTCAGACTGTTAATCTCTAAGATATGCAAATTGAGTAATTTAAGCTTTTGCTGCTTCTTTTTAATTTATACTTTTATGGAATTATCTGTTGAATAAAATAAGATTTATTTGCTTCTTGTCAAATATCTTGTTTTCTCTTTTTTTTGGGACTTCAAAAAGTTGTGAACTTTTCTTTCAATGAAAGGGAGAACAAATAATTTTCAACTGTAATTTCTACACGTTTTTGGACGACTATCTTGTCCGCCAATTTGCATAATAAATTGATAGAGTCCAAAATATCTGTGTATTTTTTTTTTTTTTGTAGTTACGATTTATTAAAACGGTATAAATTAATTATAAAAAATCTAATTAAATAAAAGCGAAAGTTTTTCTATAGAAAATTGGTTATTAATGTGTAGTAGACAAAAAAAAATTATTTATTTTTAATACATTATTTATTTTGCTAATTTTTTCTTTTCTTTAAATTAACAAAAAAAAAACTATTTTAAATTTGCTTTCAACGAACGCCACTGGACAAATTTTTATTGTAACGTGGGTGATAAAATAAAATTATTTAGTTGATTGAGAGCAAATAATTTGTTAAAATTTTCTCAAAACATGAATTCTTTATAATTTTTACTCAAAATTTAAATAGAAAAACGTGTAATTTTGATATATTCTAAAAATACTAAATTGAAACAGGGTGTGTCTGTAAGACATTGTAAATCGAAAAGTATTTTGCTTGAAATCTTTTCATAGATACTTGAAGTATCATAAATTGTCACTTTCAGATATAAGAAAATGTATTGGAAATGTGTAACAATTTTGCATGCTTTATAGTTTCGTATTGAGTGCCTCTTGACCCTGTAGATAGTCCAATTTTATCAATGCGTTTAGATTTATTTTTGTTAGCGGAAGAAATGTTTTTGGCTCTTTGTTCAAATATATCAAATTAGGATTTTAGTCAATATTTTATATTAAAAATCAAAATACGCACAACATTTGTTCGAAAAGTTTTCGAAACATATAGATTTTGTGAAAAAAATTTAGAATAACATACATGAGGACAAGTCTTTATAGATGTGTTTAAAATTAGAGTTCTGTAAAAACTCTATTTATTGGTTTTGGTATGTAACATTTAAAAGATTTAAAAATAAAAAAGATTTTCAGAAAAACGAAAGAAAACTTTAACCCAAAAGTTTAGTAAATCTTTTCAATGACAAACAAATTTTTCGTGCTGCATTAGTTGCATTTCCGAGTTCTGAGGCACTTGATCATTTATATAGTGCACTGTAATGACAAAAATTAAAAAAAAAAACAGTTTTTGTGTACATAAAATTTTAATATATTTTATAAATTGCTTAATCTACGTAACAAACGATTAAATACACTATTTAATTTATAATGCCTTGTGAAAGATTAAAAATATTACCTGTCTTTAGTTAGAATACTATATGTTTTCTGAAATTCTGTTCAGAAAAAGTGTCAAAGAAATGTCATTAAAAATACATTAAAAAACAATAAAAATGTTAAATATTAATTACAACAATTTATTTTGAATAAATTTAAATATTGTATAATATATAGAATATATTTAAATATATCATGGCCAATAACAAATGTTCTGATTTGACTAGTTCGAAACGTAAAAAATTTCTTTCCATTGCCTTCGAGATAATATCTTGCGTAGGTTGGGAAATATTAAAAAAGTAAGTTAATTAAAACTAAAATTAAAATCAAGTGTCTACTCAACTCAAAGGCACTTCAAAGATAATAAAGAATATTCTTAACAACTAAAATGAAATTAGTACAAAATTATAAACAAAATCAATATAATCGAAATTAGTTTGGACGGCTTGTGAAGGACGTAGAAAACCATTTAAAATATTTTCATTTTGAAAATGGAAAGCAACTAAAATAAATAAGTTAACCAAACAATATTGGCTAACTTACACATAGTCCAATATTATAATATGTTATAAGAACCATAAAAAACTACGACTTTTATGGTTCTTCAACAATCAGGAGAATCGAGACTCAAAACCTTAAGAAGCTTTAGTGAAATTTAAATTTATTTCATTTCTGCGTTAAGTAAGATTAAGGAGCAAGATTGCGTCAGACTCCACATATACCACTTATGGATTCGTTGAGTTACCCTAAAGGTCTTGTTATATGACGTTTACTATTAGTGACTTTTTAATAGGTTTTTGTGATACCTGCATTCTTAAATCAAAATTTACATATATCACTTGAAACAATTAAGCCTTCTTGAGGATTATGTAAAACTTCCTATATTAATTGTGATGTTTCTTCAGTATGCTTGGAAACAAATTTTTCAAATACCCTAGTTTCTTGACAATAATTTTAAGTTTTATAATTCATCTTATTTCTTATAGCAGAGCCCGCAAAATTCGTCTATTTATATTTCAAGTCTCTTTGCATTCTTATCTTTTAGACAATCATCGGTTATTATGTATATAATGTTATATACGATTTCGATTCCAATCAAGTTTAATTTCTCTGTCTAAACAAAATCTGGTAAACACTTCAAACTTTTCTGCTAACGAAAACCGATAAACTGAAAATACTAAAAATCTATATCAGTAAGTCTCGTATTTGTTAATTTATTTTGACAACATAAAAACTTCTCTAAAATTATTATCCAAATAGATCAACAGGTACAGCAGTCCAGTGGTATGCTATATCTATTTTATTTTATTCAAATTGGTGACGAAGAATTCCAGTTACCGATATAAAGGATTCTAGCGTTCTCATAAACATTGTTTTGTATCTTCTTTTAGTCTACTTCGGTTATATCAAATCGGTTTATACTTGATTTGATTTGGCATTGAAAATTCTTTATGAATAATTATCGGCCAAATTCTTACAATATAAGCAACCCAGTTTTAATTAATCAAAAAAATATAATAAAAACTGCTTTTTCAACATTCTTCAGTTAATACAACAATTTTGAGAAATTTTTGGGAAGACAATTATATATAAGGAATTTTATAGCAACTTGTTTTTTAAATATTTAAGTATTTTAAATATTATTTCGTAAAGAAAAAAAACTAAATATTTTGTTAAATAATTCTCAAAAATAAATTAAATTATATCGTTTTTAATGTTTTCAATTTTATGCTTTTCAAATATTTTTATTCAAAACTTATATTTAAGATTTTCAGTAAATATATTAAATTGAATAAACAACTTTTTCAAATTCAAAAAAAAAAGATTTAATAATAAACATATTTTTTTTTGAAATTTTAGAGTGATGTCAATCACCGATCTACCGCCTTTACCAAAAAGTCTCAGCGGCGTTAATAAAATGCTTGGATCTGATTCCGGTTTAATTAGCGATGCCGATATTGATACGTGCTCGGAGAATAACAACAACAAAAGCAAAGTACATACAAGCCAAAAAGATGATGCCAATCTAAGTAGTAATACTAGCAATCTCCAAACGAATACAGCCAATATAAGCTTAATTAGTAAAACAAAAAGCGATGAACAAAATGAAAACAATAACGAGTCGACCTTATCGATATCACCACCAGAAACGGCCACTGGAAATACTTTAGATAAGCAATTAGCCACGCTGAGAAAGGAAATGGTAAGAATTGTTAATGAATTATTCATTTTTAACTGATATGTGAAATAAATTGAATGAGTATAAAATGAAAACTTTAATGGGAATAGGTAAAAAGTACTCGTATACAAAGTACTATTTATAGGGCTATTGTTTATCCGGTAATTTATTTAAGCCCTAAATTGTAACTAAATAAGTATGATTCGAAAATAATTTTATATTAGAGACTTCTGTAGAATAATTTTGAACCGTATCTTTTTAAGGTTCATATATATATATCCATAAAATTTTTTGCTACACACATTGAAGAAGTGATGAAACTTTTCATATCGCGTGTAATTTTCCATACCCCTATTATATCATTGCTTACCCAATGGCTAAAATTTCGCACTGTTTCTCTTACCAGTCCTATTATTTTAATTTCTTCTGTATAGTCCATCCAAAGGTTTTAAAATTGATCACATTTTTTTTCGCCGGACTATATTGTAATATAAATTATAATTTGATGACTATTCTTTTAAAAGCATATTTGTTATACGGCCTTGCTATAAAAATTTCAGTCTAATATTATTAACACTATTAAACGGAGTACTATATATAACTAAGGACTATTAAACTTACAATGAGTTAAATGAAGGGAAAGATAGTTTTAACTTAGATATAACGATAGCTTACTAATTGAAGTAGACTATTCTGTTATTATAGCATATAACTCATTATTTTTAATTTGTTTAAAATTTTCGTGATTATCTAAATTTTTTGGTAACTGCACTTTTTCTTAAAATATCCAATAGGTATTCAAAACCTTCTCTCTATTTATTCGCCATCAGGTCTCTTAACGGTTTAAAATGTTAACAAATGTGAAGATTTATTGTTGGGTTTTTTGTTTTGTATTGTAAAATAATGTCCACCTTTATTATTTATGTTTTTTTTTGACTAAAGATGAAGAGCTTTGCTTTAAATTGTGACCTTAAACACATTTTTTTTAAGTTTTGATGAAGACATTTTATTGTTTTGGATTTTTAATTGAAAATTTCAAATTTGCATATGAACAATACAACAAAATATATGGATAATTGTTTATTTTTAATAAAATCAATTTTATATATATGAATACTATTGAATGACGTGAAATAATAATTTCTTTCAATTCAATATATTGTTTATATCATATAAAAGGGAATGATTTTTTAAAAAATGAGCATTTATAACACAATTAATTTTAAATAGTTTATACATTGGGTGATATAAAAAGTTTCCACCATGTTTTGGTATATTCTTGAACCAAAATTTTTTTATTTGAAATTAATTTTAATCAAGTTTATATTGTCCATTATTATTTTTTACCATTTGCCATTTTTCGGATAGGTTCATAATTCTAACCGTGTAGAACTTCTGTAGTTTATTGGCGAGAAACTTGACCAAGTGATTTTTATCGACTTCGATTAGCTAGTTTTTTAACCATTGAGAGGGTTTTGTAAAGACCATAACAAATGATAGTCAGACGATGTTATATCCAAGCTATGTGATGAATGCATCAACTTCTTAACTCACTTCCGTCAACTTCTTTCTAACCACAGATGTATATGGCCTGTGATTGTCATGATGGAACTTACCTACTTTAGCCAACAGCCTATTCTAGTCGCATTTTCTTGATTGGAACAATTCGTAAAAACAATTTCTCTCCAACACCATCAAACAATATCAATATTAATATTATCTTATTTCCCATCAATCCAGTATTTAAAATCGTTTGTAGAGGATCACTATTTTTTTATCATATTGCTTGCGTTGGATATTATCCCAATTTCTTCTATTATTTATTGCCCTCGTCGACTTGTTTCAAAAATGATTCATTTGTTTGCCTTTTAGCAAATTTGTTTGACTTAATTCATGTGGTACCCAATCATGGAGCATCTTTGCGTAGCATGTTCTTTTCAAGTCAGTTCATCATGTGGTTAATATTCAATACCGACACTATCTCCTAACAACTTTCGTGTTGGGTTACTCCACCAAATACAAAATTTAATGGGCGTTTTTAGTGACTGGCCGATGAGAGCAACATATTTCTTTGACATCGAAATTTCGAGAACAGAATTGAGCAAATCCACTCCTCCCGAATTTATACATCGTTACCTCTAACTTTTTTTGACATTATTGGATTAGTCCTGCCACATATATGGATACCAACAACACCGGATGGCATAAAATGGCTGCTAATATCGCTAGAAAATAATGAATAATAATCAAATAATATAAAATCAAAATATATATCCAATCTTAACTCATAATCCAACACTCGCTCCAATTTAACTTATGTATAGTATGACTTATAATTCTATTGGTTTCGACTAATGAGAATAGTAGTGTGTATAGATATTTTAAAAGATAAGATTTTAATGTGTTTAATAAAATTGTTTACTTGATATAATATATAGTTATGAACTGTTATACATTCAGATTGTAATACTTATAATACAGATGTATTATACATATTATATTTTTATAAAACATATAGAAAAAACTTTTCTATAGCTCACATATATGTATGTACCTAAACCATAATCATTAATTTTAGTGCTACAACTGTAATTAAACTTTCATGAATTCTTTTAGGAATGTTAATTGAAATTGCCTATGCCTTTCATTAAAACTATGTACAAACTAAGAGGTTTTCTTACAAAGAGCCTTTCACATTTTAACTAAGAATAGAGCTTTATAACTTTAAACCATAAAATCGAAATAAAATTCTCTGCTATAGTATATTTTTAAATAAAAATCTACTTTTAAGTAATTTTATACGATAGACAAACAGCATTGAACTGTGCTTAGGTAAAGAACCTGTTGCAAATATTTACCTAAAACTCAGAAATGATTGTAAAAGTTTAAGAGTAGGTGTAGCTCTGAGTTGAACTTAAAGAAGGAGCGGTTAGCTGGGTTCAGCTTTTACGATCTGAAATCAAATGCAAAACAAATTGAGAATTAAACAAACCGCACTGGCCTTTAACGTAAAACATATTTAGCTTATCTGCTTTGAAAAATTTTAATAAAAAATAAAATTAAAATTTTGCATTGTTTGCGTAATGAAAATAAATGTAATTCTTGAATAACTTAAAATGAAAATGTTAGAAAATATACTTGTAAATAATATTCTCTTATATATTCGAAAACAATCTTATATTATATATATACACATTTCATTTCTAGTTTAGCAAAAAGGAGCAGCAAAAAAGGTCAAACTAAGATTCTTCAGTTTTCACGTCTAAATTAATAACTTATGGTGACGATGTAATTATATTTGCTAAGGTCAAAAACATCATCTCTCAGAACAGGCTCTTCTTAAACGCAACCACAAAAAAGCAACTTTCTATATTCCTTTTCTTAACTCACTTTTATTATGCGTAACCGCAATATTACAACATTCTAACTCCTTTCTTTTAATTCCCTTTTTTTTTAAATTAATCACAAAATTAACACTTTCCATCTCATTTCTCAGAGGAGAAGATTTAAAACATTTGCAGACCATACAAAATTCTCTGCAATGATTTTAGATGAGAAACTGAGTAAAAAGCTCAAAAGATATCCCAGAGTATATACCTTAGAAAGTGCACTGTGCACATGTAAACAAACCTCTAAAATAAAATAGGAGCAATAGACTATTTCAAATGATTGAACTAAACTCGAAGTTTATAGTGGAAACCTTAACGAAGTTCAACATCAAAAACACTTTAAACAATGTTTGAACTTCCTCCGGTCCAACATTGCACAGTGCAGAGTATATTGTAAATTGTAAATTAATAGAAAATATTACTTATCTTTTGGCCAAACCAAATTTCTGTTCCATAGTACGAATACAAATGACATCAACATAAATATACACAAAAGAAAGTTTGGCTGGATTGGTCATACCTTACGGAAGCCTTCGATTAAAATTTGTTTTCAAGCCCTTACTTATAATCCGCAAGGCAGTTAAAGAAGAGGAAGGCCTAAGATCACCGGACAAAGATCAACACTAACGAAATTAACAGTCAATCCAAGCACCTTGGCAGATCATACATCCACATTATTGAGCTCAGAGAAGTGACAGTAAGAAAGAAAGGATAAATGCAATTTGTAGGTAGCCCATGCCCAGTTTAAAGGCAGTTTAGAATCATGTGACGCCAAGCAAGGCTTAATAATTAAAATAAAATATTAGATTAATAGAAGTTGATAATAGCTAGCACATTTACTACTTCCTATGGTCGACTCTCATTTGATCAACACTGAGAGAATTGTGTAATCTACTTTACTTTAATCATGAGAGCCCTTTTATGTTTGAAGTATAACTAAACGGATATCAGAAAGTCATTTCTCCGTCTTTTGTGGTCTTTGACCCGAGCTAAAAAAATGTTTAGTGTGATTATCTATTATTTTGAACAGCATGGACTCATTACTGCTATGTCTGCGGTTAGATGAAATGAAATGATTGCAAGAAAATAATTGCAACCAAATTAGGGGTTCTTAACAAAAATGCAACTAAAACTTTTATTTTAAATATTATCATAAGAATGAACCTGTTTAATCTAAATATTTCATAATAATATAATAATACTTAACTATTAAATTAAAAACAATTTTAATAAATTTTGAAATAAAGGTGACTAAACTGTGAAAGTCATAATGACCAATAACGCATGTGTTTTAACCTCAACTCTTAAATTTTAATTTTTATAATATTTTAATATATCAGCTTGAAGCAAATTAAATTATTAATATTTTTCTTTAATGACTTTTTGCAACATAAACCTATTAATAACCTAACGGACCCTTTACTGGTTCCAAGAATTTCCAATTAAATGGATTTTATCTTATTACCTAAGAATGCTATATCTCTCTATAACATACCTATTTCCGTGTGCTGTACTTTAGGCTTTCACAAAACCACTTGTCTAACTGACTTAGTACTGAAATGTCAATTCTTGGTAATTAAAATGCAGTGAACCATCTCAGATATATATATGAAAATGTTTTCATATTTTTATTTTATCACGGAAATCTTTTAACTTTCTTGCGTAGCTAAT